CCTACATTCAGGGTCTGTTTAGGGCAGCTGCAGCTTATTGAATAATCTGCTGATAAGCTGATTAAAAATAATCTGTTGATAAGCTAGATGTGGTGGATGTTACAAATTTTTATTTTTTTGAAAAAATCAGACTGTTGCCAGAAAGCTCCCACCGCAACTATCTAGGTGCGGTGTGACAAAACTGCTTTCAGCGTTTTAAAAACGCATAAGCTGTCAAACGCAGTTAACAGGTCAGGTGCGTTTTCAAAACACCACCGCATCAAATAAGCTGCACCAAACGGACCCTCAATCTCATCTTCCGATTTTCTCTACAGCTTCAGCACAACTTCTCCGGCATCTACCTTAATATGTAAATATGAGGGTATGGAGACCTTGATATGTAAAAACCCCAAAATATTATGGATATTAATTTTCTAAAAATAAAATCCATCTTTCCATGCTTGAATTTATGAAACCAAACTACTATAAATATAAGTATCAAAGTATAAGGGTTGCATATGTAAATGCATAAAAAAATATGTTGTATGTATGTAAATGCCATATACATGTCATTTGTCAATCACATATTACGCCAATACATTCTAATTTCATCCACGTCAATTTAAGTATAAATGAGGATTCTTGAACAATAGTTTAGATAATGATAAATAAAATAATTTTATTTAGAAATAATTATTTTTAATAGATATTTTATTTATCAAAGGAAATGTAAATAAGAAATTTGACCGAAATTAACTGAATATGCATAAAAACGGGGGGAAAAATTTGCATACGTAACAAGTACGCAGGATTGCGTGCATTTCAGTTATATGGAGATTATAGGGAGGTTACAGGGAGGTTACATCCGTGTTGTACCCATGTAACCTCTCTGCAACTCCAAAAATGTACGCAGTCTGCGAACCTGTTACGTACGCAAATTTTTCCCTAAAAACGGATACATGATTCCCCCAAAAATAAATATCTGTACGGATATAAGAAAAAAAGACCTCATTCATGCGAATATTTTTTGCACGTTCCTAGTCAAATAGTTAATTAAAAAGGGTATTGTACGTATGTACTACCCATTATTATTTTTTGGGGGCTATATGTAAAAATTAATATTTGGATGCTTGATATGTTAATTCATAAAAATTGGTTGGTAAGTATGTAAATCTCTCTAAAAAGATCCTTAACCATATTCAAATCAAAATTTGGACTTAAAAGTTATATTTTAGTGACAAAATTATTTCCGAATGGAATAAATTTGTTGTCAAAATCATCCTCTTGTTTTACTACATCAAAATTGTTCGCTTTTGTCTGCATTAGAACTTGAATTGGTTGAATCAGTCAAAGCATAACATGACTTATTTGATCGAGCCATCCATGATGATGTAAAGTGTGAAACCCATACTCTAAGGCGAGCCACTCATCTCCTTACAACGTCTCTGTAGGAATTTTCATACTGCAACCCCTATTTGTGATGCAGTGTGCTCGTTTTCTTGAAATTCGCTTAACTAGAGGGACTAATAGATTATTTGTAATCACTTGCCAACTCTTGATGAGCATTAGCTCCTCCTCTTTTTATCAGTTGGAGTCATGTAGTTTGACATTAATGTAATAGCCCGCAAATTTTTTTGTCATTTACTCCCTTTTCTTTCATTCTAATCATTATTTAGCTCATAATCATCAAGCAATCTCCTCTCACTTCAGAAAAAATGTTTCAATCACTCTTAGGGTTCCTTTGAGGCGGCAATGCAGTGGCGGTGAGCACTGCACCGTAGTTTTGTCTGTTTGGGTAAATTATGTTTTGGCAGCTTTTTAAAAAATCAGCCGCTGAAATGTGTGTCTTTTCATCGATACTGGCCAGACACGTTGACAACTTCCTAATTACGGTCTGACTATTTCAAAAAAAAAAAAATTATAATTCTACCACAGCGTTTTGAACATTATATTATTTTTCAGCAGCTTCACATCTACTTTTTAATAAGTTTCAGCTGCTCCAAACAGACCCTTAATCAGTTGTCATTCTTTGACTCCTAATCAACTAGTCTCCCTTCTTAGATATATTATAAGGAAGATTTACATACATATCCCTCAATTCTTATGTACTTGTATGTAAAACTTAAAGCATATGTGTTGGGTATGTAAATACATAGGAATGAAAATACTACGTTGCATTATTGATTGCCTTAAAAAAAATTAGTCTATGACAAAGATAACAATAAAGAGAAAGGGAGACATATATTTATCAGTTAGCACATCTAATCATGTTAAAATTATGGATGGAATAATATAACATTGCTTAATTGTTTTGTACGTTGTATTCAACTAACAGACGTGCAGCGTAGTAATTCAGGTCACATAATTCTCGCATATAAAAGTCTTACATGTCGGCATTTTTGAAACAAGACAGGTAAATATACATTATTGAAGTCCCATTGACATTTTGCAATAAAATCATAAAGTAGTACATTTGCAATAGTGCTTTTTTATATTAAACATACAAATCAATTACTTCATTTAATATTAAGAGAAAAATAAATAGGAAAATAAGTCATTCCGGGCAATACATGCCCAAAAAATTATCTTGAACGAACACAGATCCCGAGGTACATTTGGATTGAGAGCATCGAATATTTAATTAATGATTATATGTACTCTAATTCAAATAAAGTTCCTTGGTGAGCTGAAGCCAATGACAATAAAATGATCATCCTAGTGAGGCCTAAATAATGCACTTAGGGCCTGTTTGGGGCAGCTTATAAGTATTGGGGGGTTTTTGAAAACGCTGCGATACCATTTGGATTGCGCGTTTTGCCCGTTTATCCAAAAACGCGGTTCCATTTTTATACTAAACGGAAGTCCATGCGCGTTTCAGGATAAACTGTTTATCATGTAACACACAAGTTGTCTCAAACGCACCATCTAATAAGAAGCTTTGGGATATATTTTGGGAGGACAAATGTTCTCCAAATATGACGAGATTATGATCAAATAGAGTGTCTTGACTAGACAAATCTAACAAGCCTAACATAGCTTAATTTTGACATCATTAAGACACTTAGATACTTATAAAATATCATTTTATGAAGAGAATTGACACGGGATGTCCGATGGACTTGTCCAACTTCAAGCAATATTTACGTGGGATGTCACTCATCAAATTTATAAATTTATCCTCACTCTCTTCATGAATGGGGACCTAAAACACGATGAGAAAAATTGAAAGGAGTTATAAGCTCTTAAGAATTCCGGAGCTCTACCATCATTGGATCATCACAATTGTATGACCACTGATGCATGTCCATAACTATCGCTGTCGCTTGGCCGCCACCCTCATCAAACTATATCTGTCATTATCGTCATTGCCGACATTGAACCATTGTCGTATGCTCGCCTTCACAATTGAACCACCGTAGTCCAACTGTCGTAGTCGTCTGACCACCATTGCTCGACCCACCACCACTGTCATCTTTGTCAAACTATGTATCTTTATTATACCACCACTATCATAGTTGGACAATGTTGACTAGCCTCCGCCATTGTCACAGTTGATGTCGTCATCAGACCACTGTTGGTAGGCCACTGTCGCTACTATCGCTATTGTCGATGGGCATAACTATTGTTGTCGCTTGGTCACCACCCTCATCAGACTATCTTTGTCATTATTGTGGTCGATGTCGTCACTGTTGTTGACCACTATCACTATGCCGCCATTGCAGGTGATGATGTCAGTAGATTTCTATCACACTGCTCCAACCCCTGTCTTCCATCACAATAGTCAGGTTATTCTCACTT